TTGCAGTTACAAAATTCTGTGAAATTTCAGTGCAACTAAAATGCAATAAATTTTCCAAGAAGTGGACCGAGAATTTCAGTGAAAAATGTTTAACCGCGTAAAGATTGAATTCTACTCAATTCGTATTAATTTCCCTCTCAGTGAAGGAGATAACTCTGTTTACTGAAAAAAAATCGAGAACTTATCGAGTGCTCGCGATTTTGGATAAACACCCCTAATGTCTTCAGGCTGTAAACGATGAAAGAAAGAAATTATCAGTTAGGGATAAAGCTCGAGTCGTTGAAATCTCCCGTGTTAATTTCGGGTTGTTTCCGGCCGAAATCGTCCTCAGGGCGTTCCTTCGACTTCCTTCCGTTCTTGTCGATGTTTTTTTTTCACTATTCCATCTTTTTTCGGCGCCCCTTAGCGAATTAGCGCCATAAGTAGCGATCTCATCGCACGACAAAAATACACATGCCGTCCACAGGTGAAGACCTAATCAGATAACTCGGGGAACACCAGGGCGGTTTCGGAGCATGCACACCCATACTCCTTGGGAACGTTTTTGGGTGGGTAACTCTCGTCATCTGCGACTCACACCTTACGACGCATACACTCGCACGTTGGGATTGACCACTTTATTCTTCTTCAACACTCCAGAGGTTCTCAAATCTCGGTATCGAAATAAAATTTGAATTGCTAATGAATAAGTGGCTCAACCCCAATACCTCCAACCGGATAATTTTATGCTAACGCGATGGAAATGGTATACGCACACACCCCATCAGTGATTTCTATTTTGATTTTTTCGTTTGGGGGCTTGACGATCGGAATCTTTTGGCACGAGAAGAGTCGTGATTTCGTGGGAGGGGACTATATAATCGAGTGGCTCTGATCGAGCTTCAGGAATTCTATTTTTTATTGCGGGATTAGGATTTGTCGTGAATATATAATAGAATGAGAAAAATTCTAATGGGGGGGTTCAAAGAATCGAATCAATAAAGAGTAATAAACTTTCTCGAATTAATTATTTTAAAAAAGTCCGAAATTACAAATTCTAGAATTGAGTTTTCTCGCTTAAATAAAAAAAATCGTGAAATTCCAAGTTAAACAGAAATTTCAGTGGAATAATCCATTTTTGAGCAACCGGCAGACGAGAATTCTCCAACTTACTTCGATTTCCAATCAAAACATGCATACTCAGTGCCAAGTTCTGAATTGCAATGAACATTTTCGAGTCGTACACCGGAAATTTCTACCCAAAATGAGAGACTAGTAAACAATGAAGAATAACTTCATTGTTTATTATTCTCTCATTTTAGTTTTCTAAACATATTCAAATACTGCTGACATTTTTTTTGTTACTAGTTTGTTCTGTAACCGAAATGAACTAGCCCTGAAGAGACGAACTTGAAAAATTACTGAACCGTTTACAGTAAAAATGAGATCAAAATGTTATGATATTTATCTTTTTTGCGAAAGTCTTCGCGTTTTCATGAGAATTTTCTTAGAAATACACTTGCAGTACCATAGATTTATTTTAGAGATTTTATAAAAGAGGAAAATCTATTTTTTTTCGCCATTTTTAATTGTTCACAGATTACAAACTATCTAGAAACGTATTTCGCTGCACATTTTCTATTCGCAAAGGGTAATTTTCATGAAATTTCTCTCTCCGTGCATGAATAGCCCCGCAAAGGTGGACGATTATCAGCGAATAGTAGAAACATCCACCACGGACTCGAAAAAAAAAATCTAAATAGCCCTTGCACTCCACTTGGTCATCCTTACACTGTTCACACATTAATATAAAATATTTAATGTCACGGGGGTTCCAGAGAGGGTTTGACATCGCGTGCGACCCCAGGGAGCATCTCAGATTCTAATCTGACACTTCCGTCGTGGCGACAATTACCCCCGTTGTAGACCCCCGCCCCCTCCCCATTCTCCCTTTAACTGTTTGTGGTATATACGTTAAACATGGATGTCCTAATGCCCCGTCGGCTGTGAACCACATCCTTCGACGTTTGATCCGATCGAGGGACAAACCGGACACGCAGCACATATATAGCATTAGGTTATATACCGAGTGGTAGGGAAATTGCCTTGGACGAGACACTGTGAGCATTGCGCTGACATCTGGCCCGGCTAAATGTTAGATAAACCTCAAACCGTCACCAACAGGTTCACCAAACTCGCTAATTATCCTCCGTGAACCCTTCAGGCCCGACGATATTGCGTGGTCATCGCTGATAACCAGTCGGTTAACCCTCTTTCAAAAAGGTGCAATCGGAAATTTAAAAATTTGCATGTGCACGGGCAAACGCGGGGCAAAACAGATTTCGCAAAATGGTGAATATTTAGACAAACGATATGAATGAAATGGACGTGGGGATGCGTTTCGAGAATTCATTGCACTCAGATCTGTCGTCTGCTGAATGATGGAAATCTTGAAGTAATAGGCGAAGTCAACACAATGAATTCCTTTGAGGTTTCATTTTTTTGAAACTCTCAGGTTCTTTTCTGTGAACTACACGGAGAGAATCATTCAATAAAAATTACGTATCTTTTCCGAAATTCCAGAGCGAAATGTGGTTGTATGAAATTTTACGGAACTGTCACGGAATTTTTCCGGAGCGCTCCGTAATTTTTATCTGAATCTCCTGTGAAAAATTACGATACCGTCACTTAAATTTTCTGAGTTGATTCCGTAATCGGTGAGTGAATTGTGAGTTCCGTAATTTTTACTGAACATCTCTCTCCGTGTAGATAAAAAATTGAGTGAATCGCGGATGATCCACTCAATGCGGATTTTCCGCGGATTTTCCACTGAAAATTAAGTGGAATTTTAAATGTTTGATCAGCAGAAAGATTTCCAATTAAAACATGAGTATTTAGCGCATCAAATTATCCTAAATTTTCAATTCATTGAAATTCCGAAAATATATTTATGTAATTTTTTCTGAAGTTCTCAGTAATTTTTATTGAAATCCAGTATCCATGGTACTTAAATCAATCCACTTTGGTTCTAGAATTCAGTACTTTGGTCTAAAACCCGTTGCCGAATGCGCAGAACCGTTGGATACTGAAAAACACAACCCTGAGGTTTTTAAAATAATATTTGAATTCCCTCAACGGTTCTTATTTTAAGGAGCCATCCTTCTCCACTTCAATACCGTTGTGCCGGCAACCAGAAACTTCTCTCTATATTTTTATTTTTTATGTTTCTATTTCATTGGTTTTATCGAAGTAATTCTCGATTTGAAACCCCTCCTCTAGCCTGCCTCCCCTCCTTTCTTTTCCTCTCACTTCACTCTATAAATTTCATGAATATCTTCATCAAACCGCGACTTTTAATGACGAAATCCCTTGAAATTGCAGTGAAACATTCACTTGATAGGAATTTCAGCTAAAAATTTATAACAATGTCGACACAACGTTCATATCCCTCACCAAATGCTCCAACCGAAGTGAACTCGATCGCACATCGGGCGATAAAACAACAGCTTAAATATAATCTTCAGGCCTTGACCAATGTCCCATTCTGCCCCTCTCCATTGAATAATAACCGTGAGAACCCGATAAAAAATCACCGGACGTTCCATCCGTCGCAAACCGTCTCATCCAATATTAATTCACCCTAGACTATATAAATCCTCTCTTCCGATATTGCGCAAGAGAAAAACGTTTTCGTTTACCATAACCGACATTTTAACCAACGTTCCCCTAGATCATAATTATCCGATAACCCACGAGCACATTCGTGTTCACGTTGACAATCGTCCAGGAATGTGAAAAAATTTTCTCTCTCAATTTATTACCCTCTGCCCCTTCAATTGATTTCACCCCTGACTCCCCTTTTTCACATTACAGAATTGTTTATGTAGCGAGAAAATTATAAGCTCGCGCGACTCTGGTTCCACCCACACACTGTGATCGATACACCGTCGACTGTATTTTCCCGGTGAAAATTATCAATGTGTCGTGCCTCTGGCTCATTTCATGAGTACCTCCTATCGCTGAGTAATTCTCCATGTGAATCCCCATATGTGTTACCACGAAAGTCACAACGATCAAGTAAAAATACACCTCAAAAATAACAAAGAAAAACCGTAGATGAAACACATGTAGATCACCGGATAATTCAGTAATTAATGTTAGGATAAATTATCCGACAATATTTGAAGATGCTACCCAGTCTGTACAATGCGGCAATAGTAAACTTTGTTATCAGCCACTGAAATCGGTTCTGTACGAGTGTTTGAACAACGAAAGTACTGGTGGCATGAAAGTGCCATAATGTTCCATTTGTGTCCACAGTTGGACAATTAATATTGTTACGAAAAAGCATGGGATCATAAATTATTCTTTACGAGGCCCTTGTTCAGCATATCCATAAACATTCGCCTCTCGTTTCTTTCTATTTCACCTGTAATCAGTAAATATTGATCTGTGCATGAAAAATCCTGGTGTTCGCTTCTGGATATTCGTTTATTTCTTCCACCGACGATTTTCATCTGATTTTTTTACCACGCGAATCAATCAAATCACCGTGACCAATGGTGACACTTATTTTTTCCGCAAAAAACGGATGAATTTTCTTGATTGCATGAGCGGGTTCAAGAAACTGGCTGCGATTAAAATAAATTCATTAGGCGAAATATTAAAACACGGTGGATCAACCTGACGCATCCTCCGAACGAATCTTTTTTGCTTCTCAAGTCGGGGAGAAGCGTTGCAAAAAGACATAGTTACACGCGTGGCGTATAATTATATTATCATTAACGTCACAGTGCCGGCGATATTGCAGGCCATTTGGGTTGAGTTGAGTGTGTATGACGTATAAAACAACGATGCTGCTCGGTGTGAGAGGCCGGCCCATATCACGCACATCGCGAATCCCTCGTCGGGGAGAACATGCGCCTGTGAGACAACATTCACGCGTTCCCATAGGGTTTTCAGGTTATATGAAATCGCTATTCACCCATTAATTATGTAAAAACTTTGTCGTGGGGAGTATTTATAGAGCACGGAGGGAAAACTTGAGGAAAATTATGTGATTCAACGTAAAAGTGATGCGAATTGCTCTTTCGGAAATTTTTATGTAAAAACGCGGAAAGGAGCGAGAGTGATAGATAAATTTTCCCTCTTGAGTTCCGGAAGGTTTATGGATCGAAACGTAATTTTTACGTGATACTCCATAAAAATTCAGACGGGGAACAGTAATTTCTGCGAATCTGTAGCGATACATTACTATTACGTGAAACAATGTCATTTTTATGGGCCTTTTCCGCAACTTTTTTCTCCGTGTATACAGAGAGGCACGATGATTTTTTAAATCCTATCGTTTTATGGAAGGGTATCATGAGTCACTTTTCGAGTGACAGGTCCACGGAAATTTCAAAGAATTTTTTGTCATTGAAAATTCATAATTTTATGGAAAAATCCGGGCGAACTGTAAATTTCAGGTTAATTATTCTGGGAAAATTAATGGAAAATCCGGAAAATTCAGAAGAATTTCTCCTTGAATTCCAGATTCCTGTAAATTTTCAGGGAATTCGAGGGAATTGGGCAGCGAATATTCATTTTAACTTGAAAATTCATGTAAATTCTGGAATTTCTGTCTTTCTGTCGTTAAAAAATTGGGACTTAACTTGAATTTTCAGAAAAACTTCTTTTGAAATTCCTTTGACTTTTTCAAATTAATTGATAATTTAGCCCTCACGATAAATTTTGTTTTTAAAGACAAAATTTTTTTGATGAAGAATAAAATTGATTAAGAATAAAATTCGTGTTTCTATTTCATAAAATAAATTCTTGAGTCTTCCACAATGGGAACACATGTGATCTCCCATATCGTGTTCCTGCATCGTCAAATTTCTTGGAAATGATAATTTCAATTGAACAATTCAGCAACATGAATCCCCGATCCTAAAAATCCTGATTAATTCACGAAATAAACTTCGAGATTCTTCGCACGAGCGAAGGTGGTGAATATCCTCACGAATGCCATGAAATTATGCAAATGCCTGGAGCAAGGTGTTTGGATAATTGCGCGCACGTTCAAACACAACCGAGAGCCATACTTAAAATCACATCAGCCCATGTCCACCCGTTTCTTCGGTGGTAGTATCCAGCATTTTTTTTCCCCATTCAATTTTTTCCAGTCAGTTCATTATTCCACCCCACATACACCGAGTACAGTTGGCAGAAGCCGAAGGAAGGCCCCCAAGGGAATACTTGCACCCAAGACATATCGTTACTCAAGACTCGGGATGTTGGTGCATGTTGCCAAGATTGTTCTGTATTCGTTAGTCATTTTTATCTCACCTTAGTTTTGCTTCCGCCGATGCTGCCGGGCCTTATGCTACCAGTCTCGTAAAACCTCGTCAGTATCTTGGAGACACAGCCGTGGGAGACGAGTAACTGTCGCGATATGTCGCAGGGCCTGACACCGACAAGCGCCAGTTGGACAATTCGCTGTCTTACGCAGTCTGGTAACGGTCGCCCATTCACAAATACACCACCCAGTTGGTTGACACCAGCTTGACCTGAAAATCATCACATGTCGGGGGATCAGATGGTTATCTAATTCATCGGTGCCATGAGCTCGATCCTAATGACGTGAACGCGATAAATTGTCCCCTTGTTTCAGGTAATAAAGTGTTTTTCCTGTACAGTGAGAGAACATATTAGGTCAGCCGAAAATTTAATACGTTCCACGGAAGAGATCTTCTGGTGCGATGAATTCATTCAGTTGTAGATAAGAAAGATAATTTCGAGCGAAACATAATGAGTTCCGAGCAATTGTTCTCGTAAGAAATTTATATGTGGTAAATGCAGTGGTGATACAGCGAATTGTATGAGGCTCCGGTTATATCAGGAGTATTTTATTGAATAGTCTACACTGTTGGAAATTTTTTGAAATTTCGTGGAAGATGTTATTAGTAAGTCTCATGAGAGTGACATTGAATTGGATTTAGGGAAAAATGGTTATGACATTTCAAGTTTTAAGTAGAATTTATGGAAATTCATGAGTTTTCAGTGGCAGTGAGATGAAAATTTCATAACTTGAAAATGATATGAATTTTCAATTTTTCCCGGAATTTTCCTGATTCTTTTGAATTTGCACAGAATAATTGAACTGAAAAATTAAGTATTTTATTGATTTCCAGATCATTTGAACAGAAAATCAATGGAATAATTGATTTTTCAATGACAAGGTTCCCTGAAATTTCAGTGGAACTTGAACACGATAAAAATTTTCGGAATTTGGCACGGTAAATTTCGACGAAAATTTTTAACAGTGTATATACTTTTCTAGTAAATGTCTGCAATTTCTACGGAATAAATGATAACTTTAAGAGACAACGTGAATTTTCTTCTGAACCCTGTGATATTGGCGAAACCAAATAATTCCTGGAGGGATAATGTGTTTTCGGAAGAAATAATATTCCTTCCTCGTCAATGTATGTCTCCTCATTTTGACGCTTTACAATTATTTTACTGCTGAAAATAATCCGTAACATACAATACGTTACACCGGATTTCTGAAAAGGGGATGTTCTTCATCTAGATGTACTGAACCCTTCAAACGTGGATTTACGATCTTTTTCCCCATAAATAATGGAATAAAAATCCCCTGAATTTGCTCAACGGAAAAGGATCTCCAAAAAAATCACCATTACCAATCATGAAAAGACATTAACGATAGGGCAGGTGGTTTCGCTCATTTCTAATGACATTCGGCCTCTAAGACTTCAGAACCACAAAAGAGAGGGACGAAAAATAAGTGATCCCAAAAGGAGTGATCGCGTGTCTCCCATGGACAGTGGTAGAGAGACGTGTAATTATTCCAGAGCCGAACATTGGACAGGACTTGTAATCCAGGCAGAAACCCTAGACCAAAATTGCTTCCTGCGAAACTGCATCCCGGTGCAAGTTGTATTTGGCATTTTGTTTTTGAAGGATGATCTTTATGGAGTGATTTCTCGGTGGACGAATGCATTGGTGGTGGGGAGAGGTGGTGAGAGAGTATTCACCTGCTGCGTGATGAACGATTTGGGAGGGCTAGGGATCCAATAGTCGAGTAACACAATTAGCATCGAATTGCAAGGAAGCAAATGAGGTGATTGAATGGTATGATTTGTATCTTTACTACTGGGTTTTATCGCATTCCTGGTGAGTCTCTGATTGGTGGTTTGAACACTTTAAAGGAAAAATTTGGGGGAGTTGATTGATGAATTTTTGAAGAAATTAACTGAGAAAATCTTTTCTGATTAGAAATTATGTGATTGAAAGGCATGCATTTTAATCCACTTAAGTGAGTCAATTTAAACAATCAGTCGGTAACAATTGGGGAAAAGCGGGTGACTCCTCCCTAATTGTCATTCTATCTACACAGTTAGAACAAGATTGAAACTTCGTGCACAGTTGACGAATGAGTTTCAGAAGAGTGACAGTGAATTCGATTTAGCAGAAAGGCAATCACGAAATTTCAGATTTCACTGAAAATCCAATGAAATTCCAAATGTTTGACCAGCAAAAATATGGGAATTCGCCAAATTATTTGAATTTTTAATTCATTGAAGATTCAAGAATATATTTACCCGAATTTTACGGATTTCTGATAATTTTAAAGAAACCATTGAACTCAAATCGACAGCTTCTATTGGTTTTTTCATAAAATTTTGGAATTCCAATGAGGAAATTCCTTGGAATTTCAGTGGAATCATATTGTGATGAAAAGTTTTAAGAAGCGCAGCGGAAATTTTATCCTAAAAAGTTTAACAGTGTGGGAATGAATGAAATCATCCTCAATTGAATGAAATTCCTGTCTCTATAGATTGAAAACAATGAAAATTATCGCATCAAACGCCCATCTCATTGCATAATCTCATTACTCAAACCGAAACCATACTACAATAACTTTTAACAAATACGGAAATGGAATAACGTTAGAAATGAAACATGAGATGTTACTTTGGAATGAGAGATTGCGATTAACACATAACCAACCCCGTGAGAAATGTGTACCTGAGTTATTCAAGTGGATCGGGGGAGCCCAGTAGCTACCCAGATTCCTTCATAACGTAATCATTCAGCATCTATAAATGTTTGTCTCACTCTCATCTGGAGAGATTGAGCGAGTTAATTAGCATTGAGTGAATTACGTCTGCACAAATTAATGTGAGCGAGCTTTCACTATGTCTAATGCCGATGATTTGACGAGCGTAGCACAGGAGCCAGGTGGTATCGGAAATATTTCATGGGTAACGATTTTGTGGTGTTGAAATCACGCCCCATAAACAAAATGACATAAGTCATCAATTTTTCCCTGAATTTTCCTGATTTCTCTGAATTTTCACGGAATAATTGAACTGAAAAACCAAGTAGTTTATCGATTTCCAGATCATTTGAACAGAAAATCAATGGAATATTTGATTTTTCAATGACAAGATTTCCTGAAATTTCAGTGGAACGAAAATTTTCAACAGTGTATCTTCACATTCAGTAAATTTTCCCGAGCCAAGGGAGAAATTCACTATTCGTCTCGCCCTTTTTCCCCGATATAGGTTGAAAAAGTTCTGAAAATGGAGTTCGCTTCACGATTACTTGACTTGTTCAGTAATTTTTCTCCGTCTCCTGCCGGGAGTAAAAATTAAATCGTTTCCAAAAAACCCCCAAAGAGATGACATTCTGGTGATGGATAATGCTGCAATGAGAAGTAACAATCATCGAGGGAACGAAGAGGGATTTTTTCTCTCGAAAAAGAAAGAGCAAGAGAGTCCTCAACTTCACAATGACAGCCGCCACAACTCAATCCGGCGAATCGGTGTGGCGACAGCAGTGAAACTTTACCAAATAAAATCAAAACAAATAAAAAGTAAATGCGGTACGTAAAAACAACCGAGGCGGCTCCTATAAATCGAGAGGTTGCACGCGCCTTCACGTGCACATCGTCAACGCACACACGGGATTTTGAGATACACCGGAGGAAGGACGACGAGACGGTGGTGGTGGTTAGGGACAAATACAGGACGATCGCTAATTATTACCCACGGCACCGGCTAATTACGTCATTAACTCAATTACGCGGGGGATTGGGTGAGACGGTTCGTTTCAACGGCCATAATGATCTGGATTATCTGAGAAAATGTGTATTTATCGTAAATGTGTAAGTGGTGAAAAGCACAGGGTGAATTTTAATTCGTTGAGAACTGAAAGTTGACACTTACAAACGATAATTGAAACTAGTACATTTAATTTTTGTGTCACAAGCGTTTACCTTAATTATTTCGATTAATTGAAGTTTCTTAACAGTACAACAATGTGTTGTTACACTGTTAGGAAACTATTGAGTTTTTTTTTGATAATTTAGTAATGATTTTTATAATAGCCATAGGGAATTTGGTTTAGGGGAAGAATGGTTACGAATTTCACATTTCAGGCGAAATTCAAGGAAATGGATAAATTTCTGGTAAAAATTCCACAATTAATCCAAATTTTTATTGAATATGAATGTTTGAAACCAGAATTCACAATTTTGATCTGAATTTTCTGCAATGCTCACAGAATAAGTGAACTAAAATTTAGTTTTCTTTGATCTTCAATAATTCAATCAAACTATTGACAGAACAGTTATATTCCGATGATTTCCACGATTTCAAAACCCCTTGAAATTTCTGCGGAAATGTCACTTGATCAAAATTTCCAGGATTTGACACGGAATTCTACTGAATAAGTCCTCCGGTTGTACTTCAAACTACCCGCTCAATTTCCTCTTCGTCTCCCAAACATTTCCCATGATCATTCTGCATAATTGAATGTTCACCTCTAGATTATCATCACGGAAGTCGACTTCGAACTGTCCGGACAAAGATCACCCCCTCATACATCCCGATGACACTCCGATAAGTATATCCCTCCATTTCCATCAGTTAAAAAACCACTAAAATTCCTTCCGGGTGTTCCCCATGTTCGTTGTCTAATTGACCTTTTTTTCACCAATTCCGCAAACGAATTTCCAGATTGCGCTTGAAAACACTTGATGTTAGCTCATCAGAAACCCTTTAATGACTTGGAAGGGGGGGGGGGGGGGTTGATCATCATTAAACTATAAACTGACGGTGATGTACTATAACGGATACACACAGCGCGGATAATCATGCTTGGCTTTAGAATTAGCCAACTAATGTGAAGGCCAACTGATTGCTATCGCACTTGCCATTTAGGATTCTCAAACGCAGTCTTAAAACCACCCACCTGCCGTGCATCTAACGCGGCTACTAAATTTAACATTCAATTTTCTACATCTTCAATGTTTGCCCCTTGATTTTCTCTAATTATTCGTTTTTTTTTCCAAATATAATGACTCCTTTTTCTTTAATACCCTTACTTACAATATATACGAGAGAAATATAAACTTCTGACATTCATCAGAAATATTACGGGTATTATAAACGTATTTCGACCGTACGTGTGGTCTCAGGAACTTGCATTTCCTCTCTTCAGCGATTTAATGATTTCCTTTCTGGTGAGAATCCTCGGAGCATCAATGTGAATTTAACGAAACAGGTTGATGCATTTTGGTGATAAAACCGCCGAAAAAGGGGTCATTATTGATTGGTGTTTAATTATAAGGGGTTAAATCTCTGTAACGGAATTATGAGAGCTGTTGGGGTGCCGCTGGAGCCGGATGTAACCGGTAAATTTTTATGACCACTCGACTGTGATTTTGAGTGATTCAATTAGCCATTAGATGCGTCTTTTACTAGACTGGGAAAATGACGCGTATAACGTGTGGGTTTCGCAGGATAAGATAAGGTACCGTAATGAAAAATGTATGTTTATTCAGTCTTCAGTTTATTTGTGAAAATAATCAGTTCAATTTAAATTGCAGATCTTCCTTTTAACTTTAGATACTGGTAGAAGAATCCAGCGAACTTTCAAATTTATTTTTGCCAAATATCCATTTACTTCAGAGAAGTATTCATTTTTTCAATGCCGTATTTCTCAAGTCGACTTAATCCCAGGCAATTCTCATTAGGTTCCAACTATGACAATTATATTGCTCTAAAAGATGATCATGTTAGTTATAACGTTCAATGAATCCCCTCAATAATTATCAACATTAAAAAATTCATCGAAATTGTTCCCTCTAGAAAATAAGAGATTCAGGAAAAACGAATGATCATTGGAGGAGTTCATCCAAGGTATTGTGCAACATAATCATCCTTTAGAGCGACATGATTGTCATAATTGAAGCCTAATCAGGCACGCCTGGGAATGATCGGATTAGAGCAATGCGATTTTGAAACTAGAGATCACGAAACGTGGACAAATCATCGAAATTCAACATTTCATTTTCGGGGTCATTACAATAACTTCCTCCCTTCGGGTCGGGAAGTTACAATTAAATGGTTCTCTCAAATACATAAATATTTGGCAAAAAAATGTTTTTCAGTGTATATATACCCTGAAAAAAAATCGTATCCTATAAATATTTTCTCCTGAGAATATTTGAGTTAGGGCGTAAATATTCCTAAGTCAATCACTGCGGAGTGAATTGATAACAAAAATCGTTCTTTTTCTGAAAAGAGGAAAGTGTTACGGCTGTGATTTCTCAAATTAAACTCACCTGTATGTGGCATCCTCACTCCTGTCTTCCACGATTATCTGAAAAAGAAATTGATGCATCAAGATATCAATGTTTTCGGCAGACACTTTGGAGAAACTACTCGTTACATGCTGGCACATGATTTCTTGTTATTTTTCTGGTTCTCTTTTTACTGAGGTCACCGATTACCACTTGGAGCGAGGTAAGTATACCCCTGAAGGGTAGCCCTGCGCATATTCACGTGAGATAATGAATTTAAATGTATTCAAAGGGCGCGCGCTTGATGCTTGACATGGCAACCCTTAAATATGCAACCGTACGAGATAAGCAAAAGCCCGTGGTCAAAGTATTACGACATACACAATAAATTCAGGACCGTGACTGCCATTGCAGAGTGAGAGTTGAAGTTTTGGCTTTTTTTTAGGTGGAGGGTGAATCGTCCTGTGATACAACCGATTAACATATCTTATTATTGTTATTATTACTTCATTAGTTATTTTGTTTCATTTTATTTTAAATAATTACATTTATTTTATTACTTATTTTTTGTCAACTTTTTAATTAATTTTCAGATAATTAAACCAAATGCCAGAATTCTCACTTATTTTGGGGGCTGATTTTGTCATTATTATTCAGGGATTTCTTGTTCGTTAATTTAGACATTGAAAAGCTCTTATTTCAAACGTTACCTGAGTGGAGGTCAAGATGCCCAAAAAATTAGGGATAGTTCCCAGAAAACTATTTTTTCGGTAAATATTAGTAATAGTGTAGTGCTTTGAACTTTTGAGAAATTTAACAGGAGTCCCGCAGAAAATGCCATAACTTTGGTAATAATTAGAATATTTCAGCGAAATTTTCCCTCAAAATATTATAGTTGAATTTAAATTCTAAACTTGGAGCATTTTTTACTACAATTTTGGTAAGAATTTCTGAAATGGAGATATTTTTTACGATTCCTCAAATTCAGGGGTCATTTTTGACCGATTTTTCTCTCCGTGTAATTCAGTGACGAGTAATTTTGTTCTCCTTTAAATTTTGTATTTAACATTCATCAATTAAATAAGACTAGAATGTCATTCATTTAAGCATTGCATCCGTTTTCAAATTGAGTAAAAACTTCATTGCCTGGCGAAGAGCGATTTACTTCGTGGAATAATTATGAAGTGGTTAATGACAGCTTGGGCACTTAGACGCTTCATGTGAGCCATATTTACTCAATCCATTACTGACCAAATCACCGTTAATTGTGTTATATGTGTTCCGTACATGCCCTGACCCAGATCAAACTGGAAAATCTTATTTATGAAAATCAGTCTTGGATTTATATGGAATTCGCGTGCCTGCGGGGATGGAATGAAGTACAAAGTTGTCAGCTCACAGTTACCTAATCAACCCCCTGACGATTGTTTCTGCCTGACTACATGAGTAATTCTCGGAGTATCAATTAACATGTCCAACCCAGGGGACAAAGCTCTTCATTTCAATAAAATGTTTTTTCCTGAGAATTGTTTTTGGAATAAATTTCATGGTGCGATGGGGCTTTTTTCATTTTTGAGGCTGGCCAGCCCTCGCCTTTGGCGCGGACGCCATCACCACACGTTGAATTCTGAAGTATTCAATAAAATTTCAGTTCTCAAGTCCACATGATAATGCAAATTATTAAATAATTCGAAAATTCAAGCAACAATTTCCCAAAATTTTCAATCCACTGAAAATTCAGTTGGGTTGTGATGTTCTATTTCCGCAATAAATTTGAAAATCCTAGCTGTCATTGAAATATCAATGATAATCTAACATGGAAAGCCCATTTATCCTGAATTTCCAACCTGAATGAGAGATTCCACGAACAATTTTCTCTTAAATTCAATTCAAATTTACAACATTGAGAATTCCAGTGCAACGATTCCCCAATTTTCCAAAAATTTCTAACAATGTATGAGCTAGAAAAGTTTATTTACGCCGTGTGACGAACAATATTTTTCGTGATAACGGCCGTATTTTTGGCTTACGGCCAGAATGACAGAAATGTACTATTTCTGGTCTAGCACCCTGAGAGAAAAAATGACTTTTGACAAAGATGATTTCCTCGATACAAGAAAATATTCTCTTGTCAATGGTGCTGGCACACAATTTTATCTAGAAAATTTTTTTCCGTGCACGGTTACACGGCCATCTCTTCGGGACAGCTGTTACTGTACATTTCCTCCATAAAGTAACTTGAGATCCACAGATTCAAGAATAAGACAATGAGACCTACAGCCCGTTAAATAGCATCCCCACCGCAAGAGGACGGCAAGACCGGAGGGTTAAAAAAAACACCAGAAAAAAGAGCGGAAAACTACGTGGAATGCGTGCGTATCGGTGGTGGTGCGGGTGGCGTGTACTTTGTGATGCAAATTAATGCACGATTACCGAAGCAACCCTCCACGCCTGGGCGCGCGCATGGTCGCGTCGTACTTCGTCGTTATATACCTTTTTTTCACGTATATAACATGCGAGGAGTTGAGACCGTGGTGGCTATACTTAAGCGATCACGAGGAAACGATACACCCACGTTACACCGTTATACTTAAGTTGCCTCTCAGAGGTAAAAAAAATCGGAGAGGAAAAAAAGAGAGGGGGTGAGCCATCGTCCCTGACTCAATCTGCGCGCTACACCCTTAGCTGCGTTGCCTGCATTAAGAGCACTTTCCTGTGTAATCACAGAGCGTTACGTACCCCATCGTATTTGATTATTGCGGTCACTTTGTCTAGGATTTTCCAAATTATGGAAATGTGGAGCAGTGGAGGAATAAAGAGAGTGAATAATTTTCTGTAATTGTTGGTACTATTCAGGATTAAGTAGTTTCTTGATTTATTCAATTTATTATTTGAATCATTTTGTCAAAAATTTTCAAAATCAAAGCGATCACTTAGAATTTTTGAGTGTTTACTGGAAATTACAAACAAGCAGAGCAATATTCTCCATCAAACATGAGATTCTCACGTTTAACCATTTAGGAAAGATGGAATTTTTTTGTAATTTCACAGGGTGATGCGAGAATTTTCAAGTAGAACGGTGTTAAGGATTCAGGATTACACAATTTGATGACTTTCATTTAATTCTCTAACCGTTGAAAGTTGCTAGTAAAACCATTTAGCGCAAGGCAGTTTTCTTCACGATGAATTGTCATTTTTCTCCGCACAAAAAGTCAAATTTTACAGTTTACGACAACAAATAGAAATTCTACATACTAAATAATTTTAAATAATTTTTTCATTTATTCAATTCTTACTATTTGAATCATTCTATGCAAAATTTTCAAAATTAAAGCGAATACTTCGAATTTATAAAATTTAAGTAATAGCTTCATGTGAATTTTGGATGCTGGGATTTTGAATTCTTTTTAACGTCGAATCGTTCATAAAATTTTATCCCAAGACGTTTCTACTTGAAACTGTGCTTCCTGAGACATCCCAGAAGTAAATTTCATAAAAATCATCTTTCACTGGACCAAAAAACCATCGTTGAAACCAATCACAATCTCCATCCCCATAAATCCTCAATGTAAGAACAATACCATCAGTTCCCGAACATCTTCATTCCCCAAAAAAATAACGAACACAAGAACGAAATGAAACATGAAATTCTCTCATGTACCGAGCAGCAATAAAAAACCGCATCCACAGCCAAGAAAAACCGACTCTCAAAGTCCATAAAACCGCCCATATCTCAGGAGAAATAATCCGAGTTAACACGAGAACTGACAACAAAAATGTTTGGGAACCTAGTTCAGAATAAAAAAAATGTATTATCCCTTTTTACGGGTTTGTGAGGTGTCGCGAGTTAACTTAACGATCACTGGATTTTGCTTGAAAACTTCCATGTTTCTCCGCATTTCTTTAAACTTCCCCGTTGTCGACAAAATCTCAACCTCCCCTCTCCCTCTTCCACCAACCACAATGAAATATCGCAGTAATGAGGATTGAGCGATTATTATAAATCAAATGGTTGGCCGTGGCAGGGCGCGCTTGCACTGCATTTCTCGCGTTCCACGTGTTTTTGCCGATGTTACTCTTACGAACACGTGTCCTCTTCCTCTCCTTTAATTCCTCCCTCCCTCCCTCCGCCCTCCGGGACTCGGTTTCTCTTCATCGTACCTATCATTCGTACACGCGAATTACACCCGTATGTACAAGACCACATGTGTAACAAACCCACGAGAGTTGTACATAAAGACCCAACGCCGGCGTACTCTACATTCTTCTGATCTCCTTGTTCAAGGAGTTAAACGATAATTAAATCGAAATCTTTCTGCCTCAATGTGGTTTTCGTCGTGTTAAAAATTACGAAGAAAATAAATTCCAAACTGCTTTTACGCATTTGCTGTTTCTTCAATCTTTATGGGCGACGGGGGAGGAGGGAGGGGGAGAGGAGAAATTATTATTATTTAATTAAAATGCGACACTCGACGTTTAACTTGTTTCCTGTAATTAGTATTAAGGACTACGCATGTATCCATTTAACAACTGATTGCGAGAAGGTGGAAATTATCTACTTTTTCATTGATGATTTTTCCGTTTTAATGGCATTTTAAGGAGAATAATTTTTAGAGTTATTTTTAGGATGCTCAAGTACTTTGGCTATTTAGAGTTAATTCCAAGTCTTCTGACAGTTTTAGTTGAACATCAGGCCTCTAATTGAGATTCATTTGACCTTAGGTTATGGAATATTTTGTGATTATTTTAGTATTCAAACGGTAAAAGTCTAAATTCTAAACTTTATTTTGGATCGTTAGGGGATATTTTGAGAATGTAAAAAAAAGATGGTATAGTTTAGGGGCGGATGCATGGATAATTGATAAAAAATATTATAAGCACGAAGAATTACTGTATAAGGCAAGTAATCGAAGAGCGAAATTGTATTTCAGGAATTTTTTGTTGGAATCAGGGAAACATACTAGGCAAGGGGAAATTTCTGCTTTGTAACGTAGTCAGTATTTAAATTTGTCGGTTTTAGTCCCACATTTTCATATTTCCAGCGATTCTTCACGGTACATCGTTCAGTAGTTTCGACTTCATTTTGCTCATAATTTTATACTGATTTTTTTCTTCGTACAGTTTTTTTACTGATAATTTTTCATATCTAAAACGTTATCAAGAATCGATTTTATGTTAAAAAATTGAGTTTCTGAAATTTTGAACAGTTATAATTATTGATTTATTAGAAGGGAATGTTAGAAATGAAATGGCAACAAAATGTTTTGATTTTCGCGGACATGTCACTAATTTTTAGAGATTAGCGATTGTGAAATTTTAAGTTTCAATGGCTTTATCACTAATTTTCAGGATAATGTCTCTGATTTTCAGGAACCCATCTCTAATTTTGACGATCTATCCCCAAATTTCACAGACAAAAATTGAAGGGTCATTTTAATCACTGTGCAGCATCACCAATAATTGGTGATCGATTCCTGAAAATCAGTGGCATGTCCCTGAAAATCAACCTGTTCTCTCCACGATGATGATCAAGAATCAATAATTCCCTCCTTGGATCCTTTCAAATTAATGTTTGATTCCGCGATAATGAAAAAAAACTCCTACACCATAAAACCGTAGGAAAATGCTAATTGCTTTGCGAGTAAGAAAGAAAAAATGGAATCCTAGATATGAAAAAAGGGGGTCGCTTGAACACTCGAAAGATAAATTGGCGTTAAGGTCACGCTTTTACGTGTAAACTCCAAGCATAATCAACTTTTTGTTTATTCATTAGGCACAACACACCCCAGTTCCATTCGCCGAGAGCTTTCAGTGTTGAATACATACACATTCACAAAACGGTAAGGTTAAAGAAGTTAAATGAGGGAGAGAAGGAGAGAGAGAGAGAGACTGTTGGGAGGTAAGAAAAAGAAGGGGTGGGTATACACACGGTATCTCCGATACGCCACTGGCTATAAAAATCTGAATATATTAAGTCCAACGTTCGCACGACATCTCGCACGGATCTCAAACACATTACGTTCGATAGTCCCCGGCGCTTTTGTGAAAAATGTTTTTCTCCCTCATATTCTCTCGTCTCTCGCCTTTTGAGGGAAAAAATCATTTTTCCCTTTCCGGTATTTCACCGCGATAAATCGATGGATAAAAAACATCTTCAATTCTTCCCGCGGCATTGAAGTCCCCGGAGGAAGATATATCCCCGAGCCACTTCGTTTATCACGATCGCAATCTCTCTCTCTCGCCAAATAAACGCGGATTTTTATGTTTCAATTAATTTCCAAGTTTCTTACATTGCGTTTTAATCCTCGGGATTCACACGTTCTCCTCGTTTTTAGTGGCGAAACCGATGGGGTGAGCGGGAGAAGTTAAAATTCTCCATGAAACGAGTGCTTTTTCACATTACCATGGCGATTTGGTTTTTGTTCCGCTGTTGAGTGGACGCTTGAGCATTCTGGTGAGTTAATTAGAATAATTCGGGGAGTCGCCCTTGCTGTATGTTGCCCCTCGCGGGCGCCGCATGTGGTTTCACGCTAACCGAGAGACTAGCTGAGAATATTTGCATTTTAAATGAACCTATGGCGTGTCGGTTACCTTATATTTGAACAATGTTATTTTGTTATCGGTGAAAATTTTGATTTTTCACGGCTAAATGTCCGAGTTACAGTTAAAAATCAAAGTTTTTTGAATACATTTCCACCACAATTAATTTAACATTGTTGTTTTTGTTCATCAAGGGTCATCAATCATTTAGTTGTGAATTAAATCATTCCTAAATCAATGAAATAACAAAGTACACAAAATTTGAATTTATATTGAAGTCGATATTTTTACAGGAAATTCCAATGCAATATGCGCAGAATAAAATTCCAAAAAATCTACATTGTGTTTTGGTTCATCAAGGGTCATCAATCATTTCGCTATGAATCACATCATTCCTAAATCAATGAAATAACAAAGTACCCAAAATTTGAATTTATATTGAAGTCGATATTTTTACGGGAAATTCCAATGCAATATGCGCAGAATAAAATTCCAAAAAATCTACATTGTGTTTTGGTTCATCAAGGGTCATCAATCATTTCGCTATGAATCACATCATTCCTAAATCAATGAAATAACAAAGTACACAAAATTTGAATTTATATTGAAGTCGATATTTTTACAGGAAATTCCAATGCAATATGCGCAGAATAAAATTCTAAAAAATGCCATAAAACGACAGTATCCCGAGAATTAATATTCATTCGTGAATCAACATTAATATTTCAATTGAATATATAAAAATTTAACGTACCTGTTGATATTCTTTACGACTGATTTTATAGCCGTAGAAACTCCCGTCAGATCGATCTCCTCCCGATTCAGCACCGTTATGTCCCCTTTGATATTTCCGCACGACGAATATGATGGTTTTTTAATCTCCCTGTATTTCTACCTCATCCTTCCACTGGGTAAACGAGGAACCATCGCACAGTGATTAATTCCCGATCGTCAATTGCAACATGCACATAATGTCCAATTGCACCCCCTTTGTCCGATAACCACAACCCTCGGGCTTCCTCAAGGCACAAATTCCCAACAATCACTCAAAATGAAAAAAATAACGAGCCGAATTGCTGATTCGATGCTGATTGCTCTGCAATGATGCTGTGGTCCTCCCTCCGCAGGACAGACCAGACCGGAAAAAAATATTTAATGTCCGACAAATGAAGTTCGCCTCGGACGATGTGAATTATCCGTTGAGCTCCACCGAGAGTGTCTCGAAGAAGCCGAGAAGAAGTTGGCCGCGTGAGTGCGGCTGAGAGCCGGGCCCTCGTGTCGTGGAGCAGTCAGCAGCCCAGGTAAAGGACAGGGAGTGGAGGGAATTGGAGGTACGGTTGGTAAGTTGCGTGTCTGCGGTGACTCCTGAAGGAGTGTGTGAGTGGATAAAGGCTACCGTGCAGGATACACGGAGAGAAAAAAAGAGCTAAAAAATCCCCACAAGACACGGAGAGAGAATGATGATGAGAGACGATGTGGTCCAGTCAGAGGACACGGTAGATCTGGAAACACTGTTGGGGGGGAGTTCACGGACTGATACGTTCAAATGTTGGAAACGTTTTTTTTTACGATGAAAAATAAATGAACACGACGGTGTTTGCTGGGTCTCGAGGGTTTATGGTGTGTGTGGCGTGTCCGTCGCGTGGCACCTCGTACCCCATTGTGGCTGCAGCTCGAGTGGGGGTGTTGTGTGGAACGAGAAGCGCGCGCGCGACCCCGGCGAGAGAAACCCTTGACAAGCCGGGGCACAGAGAGTCCTCTCGACGAGGGATGGGCGGGCACTCTGGCACGCCTTCTCAACCTACACGCGCATCACCCCCTTGGCTACCCATTTACAGTAGAACGAGGATGAGCTTTTTCAGTCATTTACGCTTCGATGACCATCGCGATCCCTTTCATCCTACACCGAACCATTTTTTTTTTAATTGCGTTAGGCGGTTTTTTTCATCTCCAATGAACATTTTGACAAACCTGAAGGAATCCTGGTGAACTGTTTCATGAAATGATTGGGTGAAATAATGAAGTCATTTATGGAATTGCCGGCGCATATTAGTGGAAGCTCATTTGTCCTTAAGTTTCGCACGATTTCCCATTTTTTAATTAAATTTAGAGAAGTGTTCAACTCCCCCACAAATTGGAAATTGTTTGAATTGCAGAATCGAATGAAATATCGAAAATGATGATTTACGATTGTCGGGCGTGCTCATCTCCCAGGGACTTATCCAATCTATGAGGCACCTTCACAAATTCTGTGTAGAAGTTGACTCGCGATCATGTTATTTGATGTAGAGGTGAGCATTGTATCGGCCCAAGTCCAGGGCTTCTTGAATATTCTCGGGTAGGGATGTGATCGATCGCTCCCTTATTTGATTATGAAATCCCTTATGTGATTATACGTTTTTTTTTCTTGTTGATAATGAATATATTTTACTCTGGTGCAAAATTATTAGTGTGCAGACAGTAGAATTCTCTACTCTTTGGTGTAGCATTGCATTTATTGTCACTGCTGCTACGTTCAACTCGTGCCAAAAGTGCCTTTTCGTTTACTTGTAAATGAACAAAGGCACAGTCCACCACTCGTTGAACGTAACATCACTGACAAAAAACAGTTCGACACAAGTGCGACGATGATTTTTCAGCTCGTGTGATTGGCAGCCCTCGGCTTCGCCTCGGGCTTCCAACTTCGCACTCGTGAAAAACCCGTCGCACTTGTATCGAAATATACTCCTTGCAGTCCCAATGGCCGGTCGTGCATTGATAAAAACAAAGTATTTTGAGAAGCGCGTCTTCATCAGTTACATCAAGATACTCGTGGCTGGAAAATTTTCAAGAGCAAAATGTCTTGCATTAAGAAAAAAAACTTTCGTCAAGACATTTTGTGCCTGTCCTAAAGACGAGGACAATTTCTTGATGACAAGAAAGGGATTTCTCATATCAAGTTAAATTGAATTAATTCATTTTATAGATTTTAGGCTCGATTCTAAAATATTTTAATACAAAAACGACTTGAATTGATTTGAGAACAAGTGGAAACTTCCTTGACAAGTATAAAATTCCTTGGCGTAAGATTTTTTTTCTTAGTGTAGGATATTCTGCGCTAAAATTTACAGGCAACTTATTTCAGCTCAGTAATGATGGTGGCGATATACAGTAGTGTATATATACACCTGTAATAATAAGAATAATAATGATAATAATAATAGTAAAATGTTATAGTTATAAAACTGAAAAATCAATTATTTGAAATAATAAGAATTCTTTTCAGGAAAATATAATGATAGTTTTTAATAATATTTGCCGTTAGAAGGACGGTGGCGATATACAGTAGTGTATATATACACCTGTAATAATAAGAATAATAATGATAATAATAATAGTAAAATGTTATAGTTATAAAACTGCTATCCAGATGATAAAAAATATTTTTAAAAAAACTTGAAAATGAAAATGAAAAAATTAAGTTTAAAGTTGAATATTTTTCTGCACTGGAAGCATGTCATTTCATTTTATTAAATTTCCTCGAGCTATGGTTACCTTCAATTTTCTCAGGTGTAAAAAAGCATTAAAAATGTCAAGTCAAGCGGACCGAGTTTGAAACGCTTGGAATCAGGGCGTGCCTAATCTCAATTCCTTGCATCGGGCGTTCGGCACACGCGAAGACAGGAGTCTCCTATCGCTGAGTTCAATCAGCGATTCTCCAAGTCCTTGTACACTACTCCAAACCGACCTACACCCCTCTGATCGTGCGAGATGTACCTCCAAAGCCCTTTAAGAGAGCGTCTTCAGTGAGATAAAATCAAACAGAAGTTCCAGCGTATCTTGATAACTTAACATACCTGTTGTATTATGGTGTATGACCCGGGCGGGCTATGCTTTGGGGATTACGAGTGGTGCCGACGCCTCTCGTCTTTTCGATATCCTTCCTCCAGTTACGGCACACCTGCGTTATTATACAATTTTAGCAGGTAAAATCCACACGCGACATCGATTACCGGGGATTACATCAGCAGTTGATGGGAATCAAGGCCGAATTATCTGAGATTTCAGGATTTCATTGGAATAATTTCAAGGAGAAGTGCACGAGAGAATAATCCGGGAAGAATTGCCGTTTTACTCCATTAATTAGTGATTACTTCAATTGTTACGAAAATATGAAGTTTCTATGATTTTTTTAGTTGGTCAAGCTCAAGAGCGAAATGGAATATCAAAGTCGTGATTAAGGATATCGAAGTGCTCTGGCTATTTTTTCTCCAGTGAAATGCTTTTCTACTTTTGTAGTCGAACATCAGAGCTTTCATTGCAGTCTCATTTACTCCTAAGTTTTCGGATATTTTACAGTGATTTTATTATTCAAACATTATAGATCTGAATTTGAATTTCGATATTGAACCGCTTGAAAACATTTTAAAAATCTGACAGAAAATTAGAAAGTTTAGTTTTGGCGGAAGATTCATGATATAATTTGGAAATTGAAATTTTTAGTCATTGCGAGCATGTTTTATCAATATAATGTATAAACAATCAATTTTCCACAAATTTCAAGAAATTTAGTTGTTGAAAATTCACAATTTTATGAAAAAAAAATGATAAGTCTAAATTTTAATTCAATTATTCTACGAAAATTGATAGAAATAGGGAAAATTCAAGTCATTATATTTTTGAATTTTCCACTAATTAAATATTCATCGTAATTTGGACAGTTCTCGTCTTTTTGCTGCTCAATCATTTAAAATTCCATGGAATTTTTACATAAATTTGAAATTACATGATTCCCCCACCGAAATTACGTTATGAAAAAAAAATTGTTCGTCACTCCATCGAAAATAGTATTGTTATGCAACCAGTAGATTTCATTATGATGTCATGAAGGTAATTTGTCCAATATTTTCTCCATAAAATTCTAGTGATTTGTCTCTCTATATAAACGAATCATGAAAATAAGCAGTTGCAGTTCCCCCGAGTCATCAATTCTACACTCGAGTTAACGCCATTTTATGGTGCCGAAGGTATATCGAATGACAAACAAACACAAGGGTGTATTTCGAATGGGAATAGCGGGAAGCCACACTGTCAGCTCTCTCTCGTTCTCTTAACGGCCCCCTGCAGAGTAATTGTGCGGTAACAACATGACTGGGGCGAGCCAATGTCAGACAGGTTGTGCTCGCGTTACGGATCATCACCTATTCAAGCTGTTCTCGGAGAGAGAAAAATAAAAAACTGAATGACGAAGAGGTGGAATCTACCACGAGCTTTTGCGGTGCGCCACATGTCTGATCGGCTTGTCAACATCGTTCATGTCCAGCATCCGTTTCTCAGGAGTCGGAATGGCTCATCTGTCGATACATTTTTGGTGGTCAATAGAATTCAAAATTTTATGCGCTCTCGAGATTTGCGTTTCTATGCTAATGGCTGTCTGCATTTTTTTTTTTCATAATAGAAGACACGCGAAGCTTTGGTTCAGAAGGGTTTAACACATGTTTGGACTGCACTCTATGTTTTTTTTCAATGGAAAGGAGATGGATGTGGAGAAGTGGAATGTTCCACCGATGAACGATTTCGTGAATTAAGAATACTGCTTCATGGGAAGAGGTTGAATTTTGGAAGTGCACTGTTAGAACTCGTAACATTTCCATTAAAAATTCATAATTTCATGGAAAAATCCGTCGGACGTGTGAATTTCAGTCTAATTATTCCGAGAAAATTAATGAAAAAGGTGGAAAATTCGGAGAAATCTCTCCTTGAATTTCCGATTCTTTGAATTTTCAGGGAATTCTTTCCTGGAATTCCAAGAATTTTAAAGGAATTATCTGAAAATTCAGGGGAATT